GCTCCTGGAACGACTTCACACCAACACTAGGAAGAGCTATGAACTCCTGAGTGACACCTCACCACCGAGCAGTAAGAGAGCGAAGAAGATGAGGATCAATAGTTAGAACAGCAAAAATACCTTCAAAACAATTCTGAGAGTATTTAACATCAAGAAAGCTGTGGACTTCTTGGTGGAGTCATGGGGATCAGCTGTCTATTACAGAATTACATGGAGACATGCCAACAATACCAGGTGAGAGGAGGAGTCAATCTGTGACTGGTGAGGTTCAGAATGTTGCAGCAGGACCTTGCCAGAGAAGCTGGCGCAGACTGTTAGCAGTTCCAGGTTTCTCCGAGACCACCAACGATTAAGTCCTGGAGGTGATCAGGAGATCCTGAAGTGACGTCGCATTTAGATGTTGGAAGAAGAACACGCTAGTGAAGAGGAAGAAGAAGGTACAGTTCTCTGAAAATGAATTGAAGAAGTCTTCCATACTGCTGCAGCCATGGTTTTACATCATGTGTGTATCACGACAAACATCAACGCCAGCTGTCAGCAAAGCATAACAGATTTTCAGAACCCACCACAGCCAGCCCAGCCAGTGATAGTGACAGTGAAGTTGACTTTGAGGATTTGTAGGCCCTGACAACTGTGGGTGACAGTGATGTAGACAGATTCACCTAGTAATGTAGGATTCACCTGAGGGCCAGGAATCTGCCCTCTGCCGAACCAGCCTCCATCCCTGTATATGCCGACTCCATCTCTTCTACTACCGAAGTTACACCTAATTTTTAGTTTTTCTAACCTTACCTTTTATTTTTCCTATGTTAACTCTTTATCTTCCTAACCCAACCTCTTCTATATACTTGTTTTTCATACCACCATAGTTAAGATAAAATTTTTTACTACAAATATGTTGTGTGTCGTCAAAAGTGGAGTTTGGGGGATCGCCCGACTCCATTTCAATTAATCCCATATATATATATATATATATATATATATATATATATATATATATATATATATATATATATATATATATATATATATATATATATATATATATATATATATATATATATATATATATATATATATATATATATATATATATATATATATATATATATATATATATATATATAAATGCCGGCCTCCTTGGCAGGCTAGTAGTTACACCCTTCGGGTTATTGGGCAGTTAGGATTGTAGTAGTTGTGGGCCATCCCAGACAGGCTCTGATTGATCCATGTGTGTAGTTAATAATTTCTTCATATTTTGATACTATTTCTCAGTGACTGATATTATCTTGTTGGGTGTAGTTAACATTCCTTAAATAATTTTGATACTGTACTATCGTTTTCTAATGTTTATGTGTCACTATGGGATGTAAGATAATGAGGAACTGTTTTCAAATGAGCTCCTCATTCTGGTGTAAGTAATGCTGTTACCTTAGTAGTTTCTCATAAGGCATTTAATATTTTCTACCTATTTTTGATATCATGTATAACCTTTGTTCCCCAGTGTAGTGTTTTAAGCCAGGCTAAGAGGTGTGCAAATGTTGGTGTATCATTATTGATTGTGGTTGTAGTGTTGGAGGGAATAGAAGTGTCAAATTTTACAGTGCGTCTCATTCACCCCAATCACAGATGCTATCTTTCTACGGGTCAGGGAGAATATTTTTTAAATTAATTGAGTTTGTGCTGGTTTGGGTTTTTCTCAAAGGGGCACTTCCACTGCATTACCATCCACTATAATCAAAAGCCCCAAATGAGAGAATTCCGACCTGTTACATATATAGTGGTCCCTCGGTTAACGAACACCTCGGTTAACGAATTACCTTCCATAAGAATACTCAATTCGGTTAACGAAAAAAATTCAATTAACGAATTCCTTACGAATTCGTCTCAACATGTTTTCGCTTGCTCACCAGCTGGAATATTAGTCCACCAATATAGTAATTGGTTTTAGGGCTTAAATTCGTTCCCATTTGAGTAAATATCAAGAAGGTTGTACTATTCAATAATTTTCCAAGTTTTATATTAAAATTTTTAGTCATTTTAACAAGTATTTAACATAATTGAAGTACATGAAACTAGTTTTTAGTGCACCAAACAGCCACTCAACTCACCAAACAGGCGTCAGTTTGTATCTCTGGTCAGTAGAGGTAACATCTTGCTTGAGACTCTTTTGAACCTTTACTATTTTTTACATTTTTACAGTACTGTACAATTATTGGTCATTCTGACATTTATTTTACATATTGACAATAAATAGTGCAGTGCAGTGTTGATTTAAAGAAAATAATCTTGAATTACACCTAGTGAACTTTTATGTGTGAAATGACGGCATCAAGCATGGGGTGATTTCTCTTCCACCCCCACTTCCTTCTCTTCACCCTTCTCCTCCACCCCCACTTCTAATTCCCATCATCATCATCATCAACCGGGAGCCTTCTACATACACACCTCAAAGTAAGTGTACTTTACTGCATTTTTTTACCTTGTAAGTAATTTTCGGTGAGCTGGAACCAATTAACCAAAATCCCATTGAAACAATGGTTTCGATTTAACGAACGACCTTCTGGAACAAATTGTGTTCGTTAACCGAGGGACCACTGTTGCTGTACTAAATATCCATAACCTTTTCATTTTTTACAATGTTTGGTATCTACATAAGTAAAGTTGGACTTACAATCAAGCCTCAGGAACATAACTCGTTCGTAAGTAGAGGAGCACCTGTACAACAAAAATAAAGAAAATCAACAAACAACTTCGTAATTTTACTTTAGGACACGAGTCCCTAGGGGTTGACCAATATGTTTTTCCAGTGTATTTTGGTGTGCTTTGAACGAATCTGACCTTCATTTTTGGCAGAAATTGTATTTTTTAACCCCCCTCCCCAACAATAATGAGGAGAGTCTGGGAAATCAGTGTTTTTGGGTGGGGAAAACAAGTCATCTAACCTAACAAAACAAAACATAACCTAACCCCTAGCCCAGGGCTTCGCTTGGACCCCGATGAGCCTAGCTTAAACTAACCTAAATGTTTCAGTAGTTAAAAACTTTGGGGCACACCATGTCTGAAGGTACAATACCTGAGTTAGAAGTGGAAGGACCAGGGATACATAAGAATTGGATAGAATGATCGTCCTCGTAAAACTCAGCAATAAACTGAAAATAATTGTAGAAGCACAAATGACAACCAACCTCCACCACGGCCATTGTGAGACTGGTCAATGAAATTACCCAGGCTGCTTCCTTTGAAAAAAATAAAATGTGATTGGTAAAAAAAAAATTGCGTGATGATATCGATACATCATTGGTCACGGCTGGATGACGTCAGTCTATGGCGCACGCGTGATGCGCCGATCATCTCCTCAGATAGAAAACTCCGTAAAATCGTTTAAATTCAATTGTGTCGCTATGATCCATTTACGCCATGTATATATGAGGTTCAAAATGCTGAGAATGTTTCAGTAGTTTATAACTTTTGGGTGTGCTATGTCCTAAAGTAAAATAATACCACAACTTCTGCTGGTAGTGGTTTGCAAACCTTTACCAAACTATAGGCGTTTATTGTAAGGCGTATTAAGATGTACGGAATTGCTGAAGCATTAGCTATCCCGGACTGTCATTAAAAAATACAACATTATACTGCGTCTTTGGAATAACTGTTGTACCACAAAGTCTTCAGAAAACAATAAAATTAGGAGAACTGTTATTTGGACCAATACGGTAAGAAATAGCAAAAAAATATATAGAAAATTATGGAAAGAAAAGACAAAAAAGGAAAAGGTCAATCAATCAACAATACATAAGAATAACACAAAAAATCGGGCCTGTTGTAAAGGACTTGGAAAGCACAAGAAACAACCAGAGAGCAGCTCTGCCCTATACTTGTTCTCTCGAGGCTATGTGTTCGCATATTTGTGATGTAATACAACAAATTTCAGGTTCAGTTTAGATTACTTTTTGCACGTACAGAACTGTAATCAACTTGTTCACCCCCATTTAAAGTATCTTAGGAGATGATATTAAAGTTTTATTCATATTTGAGTAATTATCAATATTGTTACACCAAAGTCACCAACGGCTAATGAAATCGGACAGCACCCACGTAAAAAGGGCGGAGTTTAAACAGGTTTCCACTAGGCGCAATCCTTTTCAATTCTTTCATACCTTACACTTTGTTTTTGGTCCTATCCAATATACTACCATACAGTATATAGAATTATTTTTTATTACCTTACATGCCTCCAACTCTTCAATATTAATCAAAATATTCTCCATAAGTGGCCATGATCCGTGTTACTTTCACCGGGAGAAATTGCTGATAGGTTGTCAGCTATTTGTGCCGCTTAGGCCCTGCAAAAGGCTAACGCCTGATCGAGGAATTAGCTTTTCCCTTTGAACATTCCCTTAACTCTATACCAGCATCCTTTTTTACTTTTATCCTCCTCACCACTGATCGGCTCGTTAGCCGCTTGGGTGACCGGTTACGTCTCTGTTACACACAGTTAGCAAGTACTGGGCATGCACTGGCACCTGAATATATCTGAAACTGCTCCAGTGTTGGTCAAGTCTGGTCTTGAAAGAGCTCACACTCGGTGCCGTCACAACACTCTGGTAGATTGTTCCAAGAGTTCACAATTCTCACTCCGAAAAAGTTACTCCTCACAGTTATCCGGACTTGCGGCTTCTTTAACCTTGAGCTGTGTCCCTTGGGGCGAGCGTCTGCCAGCTCCGGGTAAGGACACTCGACTAAGTAGTGACCTCTGAGAAGCTTGTATACCTCAAAAAGATCTCCCTTTGCCCGTCTGTAGCACAAGCTAGGCAAGTTCAGACAGAATAGCAAATGCGTTAGCTATTCCATGCATCTGAAACGCCCTACAATAACCACCTTTACTAACCAGGAGCGGACACGTAGCAATGGTTTAAAGAAAAAAAGACAAATTGACTAGCCGCAGTTTCCTCCACTTTCATGTTCTTACTATTCCTTCATAAAACAACAAAACTCACCACTACTCTGTCTTCTTCACTGAGTATAGCTTGATCCACTTGCCATCCATTATGTAAATGTTGCAGCATGTACGACATCTTTAATCGATATGAGGATCAATCTTTCACAATAAAAAGAACTTTATGATACACAGGAGTTAATCTTCCCCACGAGTCGGCAAATGTTTACAAGTGTTGGTTTACACCAAGGAAGCATTACTCCATTATAGTGACGGTGCTGCCATCTCTCGGTAAGCTTTAGTCACAGAAAATAAGTTTACGTTTCCAGAGAATGTAAAAGTTTTCTAGGGTAACCAATATGTTTGCTGCTTTGTTCTGAATTCTGTAGTATTGTATTTTTTATTTAATTATTTTCATTAGTGGATTCACAGTTTATAAGTTTTTGTATGACTTATATGACAACATACAAGTCCTTGTGGAATTATGATAAGAATGATAAGTAAAATCAAGTACAGTATATATATTTTCTGTTTTATTACCATAACTATTCTCTATCATAAAGAAAATAACAATACAAAGAAACAAAGACAATAGATAGAGAAGACAAACAAATACTGTTCAGCAACATAAATATTTAGAAAGTTTAAAAGAGAAACAATAGTGATAAATAGACTCATCAGAGTGAGCCTATCCTCCCTAGAATGTAGAAATCTGCAGAGAGACTTAATTGAAATATGTCACGTAACTAAAATACATGAGCACGAGCTCAAAAAATGTTTAAGCCACGGTGACAGTAGTAACATTAGAGGAATTTATTTAGCTAGAGTAATTAACAAATTGAATATTCTCCCCAAACAGTTAAAGGAAGCAAAGTCTGTGTATACATTTAAATTCTTCAGATAAGCACTGCATAGGAATTAAATTTGGGCACCAAATAGACCTTTAGGCCTAACCCACATGCCGCTTTGCAAATGCAAAAGTAAATGCCCTTATCACTATGGAAGAATATGCCGAGTGTAAAGGAGTCGTGTGAATGTCAATATCGCGGATGTGCAACAACTGATTATTGTAATTAATAAATAAAGTACTGATTTTTACATACTGTGTATATGTGTTCATTAAACAAAATTAATTCAAACATTGCAGGGCGGATCCAGAAATATCAAAAGGGGGTTCAAGAAGGGGGTGGGGAACATGGTGAACACAATGCGACCACCCAGCTGGGGGAAATTTTTTCAAATCTGCTCAATATCATGGACATTTTGAGGCCATTTTGAGGGCATGTGCACTTGATATTTGGAAATATTCTGAAGTCAACAGTAATTACATTTTACTATACAAAAAACGCCTGAAGACAATACTGCCCCTGCACTGTGTTTTTCTTTGCCTTTTATTGGACGTGATCATAGTGCTTAAAATATCGAAATTATACCTCGTGGTAAGTAGAATAAGTGTTGTAATAAGAATGACATGGTTTCCCAGACTAATCCATGTTCCAGAATATATGTAAAAACAGAGTAGTGCCTCCTGAGATGCTTATACACCTCTACTAGGTCCCCCCTTGCCCTTCTGTAGTATAAGCTGGGCAAGTTCAGGCGCTCCAATCTCTCAGGGTAGCTGAGGTGCCGAAGTGCAGGCACCAGTCTGGTGGCCCTCCTTTGAACATTTTTCAATCAACTGACAGTCCCTTGCATATCTCGGGGACCAGATGGGGTGACAGTACTACATATGGGGAAGCACTTCACTCCTGAAGATCGTTACGAGGGACGGACAGTCTAGATATCTGAACGACCTTCTTATAAGACCCAATAATTTATTTGCCTGATTTACCTTCTTCTCGCAATGGCCCATTAACTTCAGCTCATTGTCAACATACACACCTTGGTCCTTCTCACATACAGTCTCAACTAGTGCAGTTTCTTCATCCCGTTGGGACATATGATACGCCTCCTTGCCGTTGGTACGCCCCAGGTGCATCCTCTTACACTTCGTGACATTGAATCTCCGCAGTCGTTTCTTCGACCATTCATGGAGCCCACAGAGGTCCTTCTGCAGCTCTTCACAGTCCACTTGGTTCTTAATTTCCCGAAATAACTTGGCGTCATCGGCAAACATTTGTATGGAGGAGTGTACTACGTCAGGCATGTCATTTATGAAACAAACAAACAACAGCGAGCCCAATACACTGTCCTGTGGTACCCCACTTGTGACAGGTACAGATGACGATTTCGTGCCATTAATCACCACACACTGCTTGCGGTCATGTAGAAAGTCTTCTATCCACGCTGGGACATTTCCCCGAATTCCGAACCCTTCCAGTTTGATTTTCAGCCTTTCGTGGGGTACACTGTCGAAAGCCTTGGCAAAATCTAGGTAAATATTGTCGATATTACCACCCCGTTCCAGAATATGAGTCCAAATATCCAATACCTTGAGCAATTGTGTTAAGCAGGAGCGCCCCGGCATAAAACCGTGTTGGCAATCCTTTACAAGGTTGTTTCGTATTAGATGTTCCATTGCGGCATCTCTGATAATACTCTCAAGTACTTTACATATTATGCTGGTCAGGCTAAGTTTATATTTCCTCTTGGCACTATGGGAGAAGTGTGTATAAATATTTCTGATTAGGTCTTCGCAATGTCGTAGTAGATATTTTACTGATTCTGATGCACATAAGAGAATGCTATAACAAATATACATTTATTTTAATAGCTGTATATCAAATTTTATTCTTTGATGACGTGGCACATGTATGAATATGTAACATAATATAAGGTATTAAATAAAACAGCCGTATTAATATATATATATATATATATATATATATATATATATATATATATATATATATATATATATATATATATATATATATATATATATATCTACTTCTAGCGTAAAATGTAGGGATTTATGGTAAAATTGGGTCTTGCTTAGGGTAAGGCCTGCGGGTACTGGACATGTGAGGGGTTGGAAGTGGACGCCCAGGCCCAGTAGGGGAGGGAGCTTCAGTTACTCCGACTTACTTATTTAGTATGTCTGTGGCATTATACATACACCGAAGTGTTAAAATCATTGTGGGGTCTTCTGGACGCACATATTTTGCTTGGGAAAAAGAATATCCATGGGTTACCAAGGCAAAAGATGGATCTCAGCAGGCCTGTAAAATTTTTTTTAAAACCCTTCAGCCTAGGAAGGCCACACTAAAAGCCCATGCTGAATCCAAGGATCATAATAAACGTGTTGGTGCAATTTCCTCAACTAGAGCCAATGTGTTTCAGACAGGTGGACCAAGCCCAAGGAAGCTACAGGAGAGTCCTTTGATAATTAATTATATAAGGAAATGCCGGATGATGTCTATCAAAATACGTATACAGTATCATAATTACCAAATGTTCTAACCAGTTATTAGTCATGGACAGTACTTCTAATATGAAGTTGCAAAATTCAGCTATGAAGTACTGATATAAAGCCCCTAAGGACAAGGTTAGAACAGAATGTATACTACGGTACACGGACTACTCACGGAGTTGAGAAGTGATAATATAGCCTTATCAGATTCCGTGTAATCTCCGACGTAACCTGTCAATGCACTATCAAAATGAGCTAGTTGCATTGTGTCAGGAAACATTGTAAAAAGGTGCCCATATTTTGCGGAAAAGTTCAAGAGGAGTGCACAGGTAAACCTTAGTACAGTTACAGTAAACAGAATTAAGAGCCTGAAGGATCACGCACAACAAATGTAACCGCATATTTGTTTACAAACAAAATTTTGTATTTTTCAAATAGGTAAAGTTATATACAAGAACATTGATATAATTTCTGTTATCAAAATACAGTGTAGTGACTCGATTGTCTCGGAATGTAAACTTTATCCTTTCGTTAGCGTAAAATGTAAACAACATGAACGTTGGGAAAGTTTTTTTCAACTATACCTGTACACATTTAAATTTGGTATGTAAATGCTGTAAAATGATTTAGGTTTGTTTGCCGGTGATATGTGGAATATTAACTGCCATTTGTATTTCAAATACAAATAGGCTTAACTTCATACTCTTAAGACTCTTAGTCATGAAAATTTTTGTGTTAAGCACTAGACTCCTGACTAGAGCCATCAGCTGATAGACTGATATCAAACTTCGGCCACAAGTTCACAACGATATTATCTGAAAAAAAATCACGAGACAGCCTTATCTCCCACGCGCTGCCAGGCACACGTTATTTAATAATAATAATAATAATAATAATTAACGGTTTATTGAAAGAGCTTGGCAGCCAGAAGGCTGAAAATATACAGTTACATATTTGGGGAATGGGTTACGAATTACAAATAATGTACAAGTAACATAAGTGACACAAGTAAGACATATAATAACTAGATGTGGAAAAGCTCAAACTACAGTTCATTTCAACATAGTGACAGTGTAAGGAGCAGTGTTTACTGGGAGTTATTTGTGTGTGTGTGTGTGTGTTACTGCAAACGCTGCTGACAACTAAAGGGTATATATGGTGATTAATCCCAAGCTTATAGTTTCCCTGAAGATTCTGAGTGACCACCTAAACGGAATCTGGGGGATTATATTAAGTTAGCGTAATCAGAAGCGGATCCAGGGAGGCTCCTCACCCCCCTTTTCTTCAGAAAATTCTGATACTTTTATTTAGTGGAGTATTGTAGTTTTTTTTATCTTTTATTTAAAATTTTATAATTTACATTGTAGCATACTGTACTCAGCGGGTCACCAATGACAAGGTCATTGGTACTGTGTTGGGGAGCTATAGGTCATTGGTACTGTTGGGGAGCTATAGGTCATTGGCACTGTTGGGGAGCTATAGGTCATTGGCACTGTTGGGGAGCTATAGGTCATTGGTACTGTTGGGGAGCTAAAGGTCATTGGTACTGTGTTGGGGAGCTATAGGTCATTGGTACTGTTGGGGAGCTATAGGTCATTGGCACTGTTGGGGAGCTATAGGTCATTGGTACTGTTGGGGAGCTATAGGTCATTGGTACTGTTGGGGAGCTATAGGTCATTGGCACTGTTGGGGAGCTATAGGTCATTGGTACTGTTGGGGAGCTATAGGTCATTGGTACTGTTGGGGAGCTATAGGTCATTGGTACTGTTGGGGAGCTATAGGTCATTGGTACTGTTGGGGAGCTATAGGTCATTGGCACTGTTGGGGAGCTATAGGTCATTGGTACTGTTGGGGAGCTATAGGTCATTGGTACTGTTGGGGAGCTATAGGTCATTGGTACTGTTGGGGAGCTATAGGTCATTGGTACTGTTGGGGAGCTATAGGTCATTGGCACTGTTGGGGAGCTATAGGTCATTGGTACTGTTGGGGAGCTATAGGTCATTGGTACTGTTGGGGAGCTATAGGTCATTGGTACTGTTGGGGAGCTATAGGTCATTGGTACTGTTGGGGAGCTATAGGTCATTGGCACTGTTGGGGAGCTATAGGTCATTGGTACTGTTGGGGAGCTATAGGTCATTGGTACTGTTGGGGAGCTATAGGTCATTGGTACTGTTGGGGAGCTATAGGTCATTGGTACTGTTGGGGAGCTATAGGTGTTCTGGGGTTGCAGGTCGGCACTGTTGTGGAGCTTAGGTCATTGGTACTGTTGTGGTTTGCAGCCTGGTACTGGGGAGCTGGAGGTCATTGGTACTGCTGTGGTTTGCAGGTCATTGGTACTGTTGTGGTTTGGCAGGGGTCATTGGCACTGTTGGGGAGCTATAGTCATTGGCACTGTTGGGAGCTATAGTATTTTTGCTGGTACTGTTGGGGAGCTTGAGGTCATTGGTACTGTTGGGGAGCTATAGGTCATTGGTACTGTTTGGGGAGCTATAGGTCATTGGTACTGTTGTGAGCTATAGGTCATTGGTACTGTTGGGGAGCTATTACACTGTTGTGTTTTGAGTCATTGGCACTGTTGGGGGTTGCAGGTCATTGGTACTGTTGGGGAGCTATAGGTCATTGGTACTGTTGTGGTTTGGTAGGTCATTGGTACTGTTGGGGAGCTATAGGTCATTGGCACTGTTGTAGTATAGGTCATTGGTACTGTTGGGGGGCAAGGTCATTGGTACTGTGTTGTATAGGTCATTGGTACTGTTGGGGAGCTAGGTCATTGGCACTGTTGGGGAGCTATATTTGTGCTGTGTTGGGGAGCTAAGGTCGACTGTTAGAGCTATAGGTCATTGGTACTGTTGGGGAGCTATAGGTCATTGGCACTGTTGGGGTTAGCAGGTCATTGGTACTGTTGGGGAGCTATAGGTCATTGTACTGTGTTGGGGAGCTTTGTTGGGGGAGCTATAGGTCATTGGTACTGTTGGGGGAGCTATAGGTCATTGGCACTGTTGGGGAGCTATAGGTCATTGGTACTGTTGGGAGCTATAGTCATTGGTACTGTTGGGGAGCTATAGTCATTGGTACTGTTGTGGTTTATAGGTCATTGGCACTGTTGGGGAGCTATGGTCACTGGTACTGTTGTGTTTACAGGTCATGGCATGGAGCTATAGTCTGGTACTGTGTGGTTGCAGGTGGTGGTACTGTTGGGGAGCCAGGCTGCATTGGGGAGCTTAGGTCATTGGCACTGTGAGCTAGGTCATTGGTACTGTTGGGGGTTTGGTATTGGTACTGTTGGGGAGCTACAGGTCATTGGTACTGCTGTGTTACAGGCTTGGCTGGTACTGTTGTATATAGGTCATTGGCACTGTGTGGGGAGCTTGAGGTCATTGGCACTGTTGTGGGTTTAGTAGGTCATGGTACTGTTGGTATAGGTCATTGGTACTGTTGGGGAGCTATAGGTCATTGGTACTGTTGGGGAGCTATAGGTCATTGGTACTGTTGTGGGAGCTATAGGTCATTGGTACTGTTGGGGAGCTATAGGCTTGGCACTGTTGGGGAGCTATAGGTCATTGGTACTGCTGTTGGGGAGCTATAGGTCATGGCACTGTTGGGGAGCTTTAGGTCATTGCACTGTTGGGGAGCTATAGGTCATTGGTACTGGTGGGGAGCTATAGGTCATTGGTACTGTTGGGGAGCTATAGGCTGGTACTGTTGGGGGTTGCAGGTCATTGGCACTGTTGGGGAGCTTGCAGGCTGGCACTGCTGTGGTGGGAGGTCATTGGTACTGTTGTGGAGCTTGGTCCTTGGCACTGTTGGGGGCTATAGGTCATTGGTACTGTTGGAGCTATAGGTCATTGGTACTTGCTGTGGTTTATAGGTCATTGGTACTGTTTGGGGAGCTATAGGTCATTGGTACTGTTAGAGCCAGGTCATTGGCACTGGTTGGCAGGTCATTGGTACTGTTGTGGTTTGCAGGTCATTGGTACTGTTGGGGAGCAGGTCATTGGCACTGTTGGGGGAGCTATAGGTCATTGGTACTGTTGTTGCAGGTCATTGGTACTGTTGGGGAGCTATAGGTCATTGGTACTGTGTAGGTTTTAGGTCATTGGTACTGTTGGGGAGCTTAGGTCATTGGCACTGTTGGGGAGCTATAGGTCATTGGTACTCTAGGAGCTATAGGTCATTGGTACTGTTGGGGAGCTATAGGTCATTGGCACTGTTAGAGCTTATAGGTCATTGGTACTGTTGGGGAGCTATAGGTCATTGGTACTGTGTTGTGGTTTATAGGTCATTGGTACTGTTGGGGAGCTAGGTCATTGGCACTGTTGGGGAGCTTAGGTCATTGGCACTGTTGGGGAGCTTAGGTCATTGGTACTGTTGGGGAGCTATAGGTCATTGGTACTGTTGGGGAGCTATAGGTCATTGGTACTGTTGGGGAGCTATAGGTCATTGGTACTGTTGGAGCTATGAGGTCATTGGTACTGTTGTGGAGCTATAGGTCATTGGTACTGTTGGGAGCAGGTCATTGGCACTGTTGGGGAGCTATAGGTCATTGGCACTGTTGGGGAGCTATAGGTCATTGGTACTGTTTGTAGTCAGGTACTGTTGTATTGTAGCATTGGTACTGTTGGGGAGCTATAGGTCATTGGCACTGTTGGGGAGCTATAGGTCATTGGCACTGTTGGCACTGCTGGGGAGTCATAGGTCATTGGTACTGGTTTGCAGGTCATTGGTACTGTTGGGGAGCTATAGGTCATTGGTACTGGGTTGTATAGGTCATACTGTTGGGAGCTATAGGTCACTGTAGGAGTTTTTGAGGCCAGTACTGCTGGGGGCAGCTGTTGGGGAGCCAGGCAGGTTTGTGGCAGCTTGGTACTGTTAGAGCTATAGGTCATTGGTACTGTTGGGGGAGCTAGGTCATTGGTACTGTTGGGGAGCTATAGGTCATTGGCACTGTTGGGGAGCATAGGTCATTGGCACTGTTGGGGAGCTATAGGTCATTGGTACTGTTAGAGCTATAGGTCATTGGTACTGGGTAAGCTATAGGTCATTGGTACTGTTGGGGACAGGTCATTGGTACTGTTGGGGGAGCAGGTCATTGGCACTGGGGAGCTATAGGTCATTGGCTATCGGTCATTGCTAGAGCTTTAGGTCATTGGTACTGTTGGGGAGCTTGCAGTCATTGGTACTGTTGGGGAGCTATAGGTCATTGGCACTGTTGTATTAAGGGTCATTGCTGTGTTGGGGAGCTATAGGTCATTGGTACTTGTTGGGGAGCTATAGGTCATTGGCACTGTTGGGGAGCTATAGGTCATTGGTACTGTTGGGGAGCTAGGTATTGGTACTGTTGGGGAGCTATAGGTCATTGGCACTGTTGGGGGGAGCTTAGGTCATGGTTGGGGAGCTATAGGTCATTGGTACTGTTGGCTATAGGTCATTGGTACTGTTGGGAGCTATAGGTACTGTTGGGAGCTATAGGTCATTGCTGTATTTTATAGGTCATTGCACTGCTGTAGTTTATAGGTCATTGGTACAGGCTTGCAGTCATTGGTACTGTTGGGGAGCTAGGGTCATTGGTACTGTTTGAGGTTTAGGCTGGCTGGGTACTGTTGGGGAGCTATAGGTCATTGGCACTGGGGAGCTATAGGTCATTGGTACTGTTGGGGAGCTATAGGTCATTGGTACTGTTGGGGAGCTTGAGGTCATTGGTACTGTTGGGGATTATAGGTCATTGGCATGTACTGTGTTGGGGGAGCTATAGGTCATTGGTACTGTTTGGGGAGCTATAGGTCATTGGCACTTGCAGAGCTATAGGTCATTGGCACTGTTGTGGTTTATAGGTCATTGGTACTGTTGGGGTTATAGGTCATTGGTACTGTTGGGGTTTATAGGTCATTGGTACTGTTGTGGTTTATAGGTCATTGGTACTGCTGAGCTTAGGTCATTGGCACTGTTGTGGAGCATTGGTATGCTGTGGTTTGGCAGGTCATTGTACTGTGTGTTTGAGGTCATTGGCACTGTTGTGGTTTGAGTCATTGAATTTGTGTATGCAGGTCATTGGTACTGCTGTGGTTTGAGGCTGGCATTGCTAGAGCTTAGGTCATTGGTACTGTTGGGGTTTGCAGGTCATTGGTACTGTTTGCGGTGGCCATTGGACATTGCTGTGGTTTATGGGTCATTGGTACTGTTGTGGTTTATAGGTCATTGGTACTGTTGTGGTTTATAGGTGTACTGTGTTGGGGAGCTATAGGTCATTGGTACTGTTGTAGCTATAGGTCATTGTAATTGTTGTGGTTTATAGGTCATTGGCACTGTTAGAGCTATAGTCATTGGCACTGTTGGGGAGCTATAGGTCATTGGTACTGTTGTATTTGCAGGTCATTGGCACTGTTGGGGTTTATAGGTCATTGGTACTGTTGGGGAGCTACAGGCTGTACTGTTGGGGAGCTATAGGTCATTGGTACTGTTGGGGAGCTATAGGTCATTGGTACTGTTGGGGAGCTATAGGTCATTGGCACTGTTGGGGAGCTATAGGTCATTGGCACTGTTGGGGAGCTATAGGTCATTGGTACTGTTGGGGACTATAGGTCATTGGTACTGTTGGGGGCTATAGGTCATTGGTACTGTGTTGAGGCTGCTATTCATTGGTACTGTTGGGGGCTATAGGTCATTGGTACTGTTGGGGAGCTATAGGTCATTGGCACTGTTGGGGAGCTATAGGTCATTGGTACTGTTGAGGTATAGGTCATTGGTACTGTTGGGGAGCTATAGGTCATTGGTACTGTTGAGGCTATAGGTCATTGGTAGCTGTTGAGGCTATAGGTCATTGGCATGAGAGCTATAGGTCATTGGTACTGTTGGGAGCTATAGGTATTTCACTGTGTTGAGGGAGCTATAGGTCATTGGTACTGTTGGGAGCTATAGGTCATTGGCACTGTTGAGGCTATAGGTCATTGGCACTGTTGGGGGAGCTATAGGTCATTGCTGTTGGGGAGCTATAGGTCATTGGTACTGTTGGGGAGCTATAGGTCATTGGTACTGTGTTGAGGGAGCTATAGGTCATTGGTACTGTTGGGGAGCTATAGGTCATTGGTACTGTTGAGGGAGCTATAGGTCATTGGCACTGTTGGGGCTTATAGGTCATGGTACTGTTGAGGAGCTATGAGTTAATTGCTGTGTTGGGGGCTATAGGTCATTGGTACTGTTAGAGCTATAGGTCATTGGTACTGTTGGGGAGCTATAGGTCATTGTACTGTTGAGGGCTATAGGTCATTGGTACTGTTGGAGCTATAGGTCATTGGTACTGTTTGGGGCTATAGGTCATTGGACCTGTTGGGGAGCTATAGGTCATTGGTACTGTTGGGGAGCTATAGGTCATTGGTACTGTGTTGGGGGCTATAGGTCATTGGTACTGTTGGGGGCTATAGGTCATTGGTACTGTTGAGGCTATAGGTCATTGCTATTGAGGAGCTATAGGTCATTGGTACTGTTGGGGAGCTATAGGTCATTGGTACTTGTTGGGGAGCTATAGGTCATTGGTACTGTTGGGAGCTATAGGTCATTGGTACTGTTGGGAGACTATAGGTCATTGGCACTGTTGAGAGCTATAGGTCATTGGTACTGTTGAGGCTATAGGTCATTGTTGCTGTTTGAGGGGCTATAGGTCATTGGTACTGTTGGGGGCTATAGGTCATTGGCTGTTGGGGGCTATAGGTCATTGGCACTGTTGGGGCTATAGGTCATTGGTACTGTTGAGGCTATAGGTCATTGGTACTGTTGGGGAGCTATAGGTCATTGGTACTGTTGGGGAGCTATAGGTCATTGGCACTGTTGGGGGCTATAGGTCATTGGCACTGTTGGGGCTATAGGTCATTGGTACTGTTGGGGAGCTATAGGTCATTGGTACTGTTGGGAGCTATGGTCATTGGTACTGTTGGGGAGCTATAGGTCATTGGTACTGTTGGGGAGCATAGGTCATTGGCTGCTGTTGGGGAGCTATAGGTCATTGGTACTGTTGGGGAGCTATAGGTCATTGGTATATTTGAGAGCTAGGTCATTGGCACTGTTGGGGAGCTATAGGTCATTGTACTGTTGGGGAGCTATGGGTCATTGGTACTGTTGAGGAGCTATAGGTCATTGGTACTGTTGGGGAGCTATAGGTCATTGGTACTGTTGGGAGCTATGGTCATTGGTACTGTTGGGGAGCTATAGGTCATTGGCACTGTTGGGGCTCTATAGGTCATTGGCACTGTTGGAGCTATAGGTCATTGGTACTTTGTGAGGCCTAGGTCATTGGTACTGTTGGGGGAGCTATAGGTCATTGGTACTGTTGAGGGAGCTATAGGTCATTGGCACTGTTGGGAGCGCTAGGTCATTGGCACTGTTGAGGGAGCTATAGGTCATTGGTACTGTTGGGGAGCTATAGGTCATTGGTACTGTTGGGGAGCTATAGGTCATTGGTACTGTTGAGGAGCTATAGGTATTGGTACTGTTGGGGAGCTATAGGTCATTGGTACTGTTTGGGGGCTATAGGTCATTGGTACTGTTGAGGCTATAGGTCATTGGCACTGTTGGGGAGCTATAGGTCATTGGTACTGTTGGGAGCTATAGGTCATTGGTACTGTTGGGGAGCTATAGGTCATTGGTACTGTTGGGGAGCTATAGGTCATTGGTACTGTTGGGGGCTATAGGTCATTGGTACTGTTGGGGAGCTATAGGTCATTGGTACTGTTTGGGGAGCTATAGGTCATTGGTGTATTGGGGAGCTATAGGTCATTGGCACTGTTGGGGAGCTATAGGTCATTGGTACTGTTAGGAGACTATAGGTCATTGGTACTGTTGGGGAGCTATAGGTCATTGGTACTGTTGGGGAGCTATAGGTCATTGGTACTGTTGGGGGCTATAGGTCATTGGTACTGTGTTGGGGGAGCTAGGTCATTGGTACTGTTGGGGAGCTATAGGTCATTGGCACTGTTGAGGGAGCTATAGGTCATTGGCTGTTGGGGAGCTATAGGTCATTGGTACTGTTGAGAGCTATAGGTCATTGGTACTGTTGGGGAGCTATAGGTCATTGGTACTGTTGGGGAGCTATAGGTCATTGGTACTGTGTTGAGGCTATAGGTCATTGGTACTGTTGGGGAGCTATAGGTCATTGGCACTGTTGGGGGCTATAGGTCATTGGTACTGTTGAGAGCTATAGGTCATTGGTACTGTTGGGGAGCTATAGGTCATTGGTACTGTTGAGGAGCTATAGGTCATTGGTACTGTTGGGGACTATAGGTCATTGGCACTGTTGGGGAGCTATAGGTCATGGCACTGTTGAGAACTATAGGTCATTGGCTGTTGGGGGCTATAGGTCATTGGCACTGTTGGGGAGCTATAGGTCATTGGTACTGTTGGGAGCTATAGGTCATTGGTACTGTTGAGGGCTATAGGTCATTGGTACTGTTGGGGGCTATAGGTCATTGGCACTGTTGGGGAGCTAGGTCTTGGTACTGTTGGGGAGCTATAGGTCATTGGTACTGTTGGGGAGCTATAGGTCATTGGTATGTTGGAGCTATAGGTCATTGGTACTGTTTGGGGAGCTATAGGTCATTGGTACTGTTGGGGGAGCTATAGGTCATTGGTACTGTTGGGGGAGCTATAGGTCATTGGCACTGTTGAGGGGAGCTATAGGTCATTGGCTGTTGGGAGCTATAGGTCATTGTACTGTGTTGAGAACTATAGGTCATTGGTACTGTTGGGGGCCTATAGGTCATTGGTACTGTTGGGGCTATAGGTCATTGGCACTGTTGGGGAGCTATAGGTCATTGGTACTGTTGGGGAGCTATAGGTCATTGGTACTGTTGGGGAGCTATAGGTCATTGGCACTGTTGGGGAGCTATATGTCATTGGCACTGTTGGGGAGCTATAGGTCATTGGTACTGTTGGGGAGCTATAGGTCATTGGCACTGTTGGGGAGCTATATGTCATTGGCACTGTTGGGGAGCTATAGGTCATTGGTACTGTTGGGGAGCTATAGGTACTGTGTTATGTGGAAGTTAAGTTATTGGTAATGTTATGGGAAAGGTTAAATCATTTGTAGTGTCTAAGGATTTAATCAAGGCACCCCACTGTTTATTTTCCTTGTAAACAAATTTAGAAACTCATCTCCACAACTCCTGAATTAATGAATTAATTAATACCACAGGGGGCAAGGCTCCAGGGGAATGTTTCAATGTCTGTGCTGGAAGAGGAAGAACGAGGAATTATCAGACACAGAGTACTTGATTGATGAGAACGTTTCACCAAGATTGCGGGATGAGGCGGGAGAGAATGTGACAATAAGCCAAGGGTCCCAGCAAGAGATACAGGAGGAGGATGAACCGCACAAAACTGACGAAGAAGAGAGGGCACCAGGGACTACAGTCGAAGGTTCACAACCTCAACGACAGGAAAAAAAGGGAAGATCATCCCCCAGTAAGTGTCAACCGGTAATAAAGACAAAAGCTATGGTGACTTATAAAGATGAAGGTCAAGATATCTCTAAGGGAATGGAATATCTCGAGGCAGAAAATAGAAATCTCTTATCATCTAAGAGGACAAAAGAAGTAAGAACTGGAGTCAATACAAATTGTCAGAATGAACAGAACCTTCGCGAGAACACTGCCATAAATGGGCGGGCAAAGGATATATGTCAAAACATAATTAAACAAGAGAAGCATGTAGAATTGACATGTGAACGTAATACGGATGAAAAACTATTGGATGTTCCTTGTAACCACACTGCTGTCACGGCCTCTGCCTACTGCTCAGTGACACATTCCAGTAAAGAGAACATCAATGAATCAGAGAGACAATCTAATTCATTCCATGCTAGCAATCATAACGCATTATTAGCCTCTTCTGAGACCGACAAGCAGCACAAATGTCATCAATTATCATGTTTAACCAATCAAAATGGTCAATTGTGTACAATCCTTGGTGAACAGTACATCTTGACGCATGTGAGGAAGATTACAGTGTTGGTATACATCAGAATGACAGTGTCAGAGGACATGATAGTTGGGTGTAGATGTATGTGGAGAGGAGAAGTACCAATTCTACTCTCTGAACTTCCTGATAAAACCCTCGTAAAGTTTGACGCAATTGCCTTACCTTGTTCAAAGGCATTCCATGCTGTAGTTGTCTGGCAGAAAGTGAAGCCAAAATCAGTTTTTGAATCATTGGATGATTCATATATATATATAGACAGCCGTGAACTTCCTGTATTACGTTTTGTTTTTGAACAACACACTGCTTATGTTGAAGTAAAGTATGATGACAAACTAGTAATATCAGAGTTCATGAAAGATGTAGTTTTCATTGATGGGAGTCAAACAGACCCAAAGGATCTGTCTTTGATGTCCTCCTGGCCTACAGGGACAGTATTTGCTACAGTGTGTAGACTGTTAAGGGGCAGAGCAGCAGAAACTCTAACATACACATGCACATGTGTGTGGTCCGGTAAAAGACCACAGAGAAACAGCATACCCATAGAATTAAACAGTGGGGAACTATACAAACGAAAGCCAAGTGGCAAGTATGTTCGACACAATATATATCAGTGTTTGTGGTGTGACGTGTCCGCAAAACTGGAGGTTATGAGGGGAACCTACACCCTCGTATTTTGTGTTGGGAAATGGAATGTTTCCTTAGGTGTCACACAAGAGAACATCAACATCCTAAACAAGAAGAAAGGGTCACCTCTTTCATCTGGCTTACTAGTGAAGGCACATGTTGTACAAATCCATGAAGACAAAGTGTCAAGGTGGAGGGCCCTGCTGGTACAGCTAGTTGAAACTGGTGCTGACACTGAGTCCTCTTCAGCTTGTACTATTACGACTGCAACATTTACGACGATGCCACAAGAAGATCCCTCGGTCAGCAGTAAGCCATTCCCTCAGGAAAATAAAGCTAAGGGTGTAAATGTTTCACAGACAATGTCATCCACTTGTGGCTCTCCACACTTATCACCACAACCATTAAACTGTGCTGTGAAATCTCTGGGAAAAAATTTTTACTGCACCACTGGGACAACCATGACCAGTGCCAAAGTGTGGGTAGAAGGCTGTGTCTGGCATTTCAGTAGTATTTCCCAAGGTGTTGTCACACATTCCAACAGAAGTATACTAATAAAACAGGACAAGTTCTATGTGAATGGTGAGAAAGTTCTTCCGGGTGACCCTCTTGCCAAATTCTCCTCCAAAAGTGTACGGGTAAATGCATTCATCGAGCCACTGCCCCACCCAATGGAAGTATTGAACTCCATTGTGACTCATAGAGCTGTAGTGGCAGGGCAGGGGCTTAAACAGCTAAATATAAGTGATTTATTGAAGAGTCCTTCAGATGTAACAGATTCAAAAGAAATATTATACAAAAACTTTTCAATAACAAAAATGTTAACTCACAGAAACTGTCAATGTTCCACAAACATTCCAGAAGGACCTTCCAAACCAAGACAAGTCAGGGAAGTTGATGCTAATATACCTTCAGTTCAAGAATCTAACAAGAGATCAGTATCTTATATTGGTGCATGTATTTGGAAAATGGCCAGTATATCTCTTGGTATTGTGGCAAACAATACAAAAATTATAGTTGTGAGGCATGATGCATTTTATGTAAATCAGTTAAAAGTTTCCGGGAGTGACCCTCTTGTAAAATTCATTGGTAATGACATGCTTGTGAATGTAGAGGTGACAGAGTTATCTTCACCACATACAGTGCTGGGGCAGACGGTCACTCACGAAGCATTGTTGGCCTGGCAGGGAAAGAAGCCGCCACAGGATGAAAAGGTTATTAACAACTATATTAAAAGAAATTCTACTTGGATTGAAGGTTCCAGTATTAAGGTGCACCTAAGTGATGCTGGAAGGATTATTCTTATAAATGATATTCCAGAAAACTCTGGTCCTCTACGACCTCGGCACGTGTTGAGACAGGGAAGCTCCACTGGTCAGATAATATCAGATGCAACAGGATTTCCACTTAAAGTTTGTAAGGATTATGGAATTCTTAAGGTCCATTGCCGCTTCGTGAAGGAGACGGAAGTGCTTGTTGCTTTCCATAAATCAGTAGTATACATAGATAAAAAGAGATTGAGTTGTGACAAACCTCTGGATAATCAAATAAAAATTTCCAACAAACAAAAATCATGGCACTGCTCAATGAAGAGGGCTTCAAAAATCTCGGGTATGAACGTTCAGTACATGGCAAAGCTGGTATGGTACGGCAAGAAGCCAACAACAGAAGAAATTTTATTTCAGATTTCAGACAGACCTACATCAAAAGATAGCTGGGAGAAGAGCAGGAGCCCAGTACCTCGCCTCCAGCCACCAGAGCGTGGCGAGGACTGCGGCTCCAATATCATGACCCTCAGCAGCCAGAATGGAGTTCCTGTCAGTGCTGCTGCCATTGGACCTCACAACACAACCTTTTCACCATTAAATGAAGCTAAAGACAATACGGTAAGGATTATTTTACTGCATACCTTTACTTATACAGGTAATGATAGAAAGGAGAACTTGAAAGAAAGATTATGTATTACGGTACAGTATATAGTGTTTGCATGTGCTGAAGTATACATGCAAGTACAGTAAAACCTCGATTAACTGACCCTCGATTAACCGACTTTCGGATTAACCGTCAATCCCGAACTCCTAAAAAAAAAAAAATTTTTTTTAAGGGGATTAGCCCACCCGGGCACAGGTCACTGACCCACATCGGGGCCTGGGGGGGCGATAATGTACAGTAATAATGTTAATAACGATGATAATAATAATAATAGTAATAAAGAACCATAAAGAAATAAAAATGAAAAAACAAAAATCAAGAATGAGAAACAATATATGTATGTTATGTTGTCAATAGTAAGAGAAGCAATTGAGACCTTGCAATTGTGTGTAAATGAGGCAGAAAGTCAGATCAGCAACTTGGGACTTGGTCACAATTTTTGTGATGCCATATGTTCTTTGACTTTTCCATTTTTTATTCACGGTTTCTGTGCTGGTTCATATTTATTTACTAAAGTGGTTAGTGTTTTAAAGCAAATTCTATTGAAATATGAGTGGCAAATGAACAAAAATGAATACCGGTAGAGGGAATTAAATGAGGTTGGTTAGGGAAAGGTACTTTGAAAATGTATGTTTTATTTCCGTAGACTTTATGTATTATTAACCGACCTTTCGGATTATCCGTCGGCCCCTTCCCCCAAATGTGGTCGGTTAATCGAGGCTTCACTGTAAATCACTGTAGGTGCACGTGATCCAAGTATAAGCTGATAAACACAAGGAAACAAGAATACACGAAGTTCCCAAGCGCTTTTGTTTAATTCACATCTTCAGGGGCGAGTACAGACTAAGGAGAAATACTTGAGAAGGCTAATATATACAGTAAAGGAGAGTGAGATCAAGTCCCTAGGGGACAGCAGGGGTCCACAATGTTCTGGTCATAAGGCAGTGACCCTTACTAATCTTCTTAATCCATAGAAATTGACCATGCCATCTCTAAGCACAGTTGCTATCTGTAGTCAGGTCACAGGGTAAGATGACCCAACCTTCTCACCTGGTTACAAATCTTCTTAATCACAAAATTATCCAGTTTGTACATACCATTACTCAAATTCATGTTCAAAGATTCAGTATGTTTAATGAGACTGGATTCTATAATGTTCCTACTGACAATTGAATTACAAGGTAATATTGAGGAGGCATTATCCCAGTCAATGCAATGCTTATTATCTCTCATATGAATGAACAGAGCATTGGATTCCTGACCTGTCATAACACTATATTTATGTATCGTTGAATTATGCCTCGCCCCCTCAGGATCACACTAGTGAGTGAGGAGGAGAAATGGGAGGTTATTCGGCAGGCAAAAAACTAAGCAAGGACGAGGCATTTTGGAGTGTACAGTATTCATTCACCTAGATTGCACGGTAATGCAGAGGGTACAGCACAGGAAGCTCTTGCAAGGCTTAAAGTAGAGAAGGGAGGAGTTGAGGAGGAGCGGGGACAGGTGTACATGGGTTGTATTCAAAGAGAGTAGTGGAAGCAAGTGTGCCGACACATGGCCGGGGGACAGCAGCGCACCCTCCACCCGTTCTACCCCCCACACGGGAGGTGGCACCAGCTCCGCCTATCACCCGGGAGGAGGCAAGCGCCTTGTAAACAATGACATTTCTAACCTCACCCTGCAAAATACAGTGTACTTAGCAAATGCTGCAGCTTCTGAAAATGGGGGGGTTACTACTAAGAGCAGAGACGTTACCGAGAACAAATTCCGACTTGAATGTCATGTACACTAATACTGACACGTTCCTTGATAAGAGAGAGGATTTTGAAACACTACTGAAAGTACACCAACCATATATTGTGGGAGTTGTCAAACTGTTGTACAAGAACAGGAGAATCGACCCAGAGGAATGTGAGTTCAGTATTACTGGATAGGACTCATTTACGAACCTTTCTCATGAAACTTGCAAGAGGGATGTGGTTATCTATGCCAGGCAAGACCTTAAAGCCAGCCAGGTGAGGGTACAGGGGGAGGATGTTTTTGAAGAGTCCAAGTGGTGTAAAATTAAACTAAAGGGAAGGGACTTACTTATTGTCAGGTGTATCTACAGATCCACAAACTGTGGCCCACTAAATCAAAGGGACTTAAGTGCCTTAATAGACAACGCGGCAATGCTCAACCCTAGCCACCTCCTTATCAAGGGGGACTTTAACTATGGCGACATCGACTGGAGAAACGAGTTCACCCCCAAATGACTTGAATAACCCTGCTACTCTTTTTGTAGAAAGTCTGAGAGATAATTTTCTGTTCCAACATGTTAGAGACCCAACACATTACAGAAGGGAGCAATCACCCAAGCCACTAGACCTCATCATAACAAACGAGGAGGGTATGGTAGCCAAACTGGAACACCTTGCCCCAGTTGGCACCAGTCACCGTATAGTGTTGTCATTCAGATTTAACTGTTACCTAGTTCACATAAGACCAGGCCAAGGTGCAAATGATACAACGGGATGAGGGGTATCCACTGGCCTGATTCATTAAGGCACAAGAACACAGACATTTCGCCGAATATCATAACTAGTAAAGTGACCCACTTGATCGATAAATATACACCCAAGACCAAACCCAGTGCCTCTAGGAATATGAGGGGATCCCTACACACGAACCACGCGGCAGTCGACAAAGTTAAGAAGAAAACCCAGAAATTCAAGATGTGGGTTGGGTCAAACAATGAGTAGGACAGGAAGATGTATGTAAGAGCCAGAAACCAAGCAAAGGCAGAAAGCAGAAGGGCTGAAAACGAGTTCCAAAGGCTGGTTGCAAGCGAGGTCATGTCAAACCCAAAGGCGTTTTATCGCTATGCAAAGTCAAAATTAAAAACACGAGTAGGAGTATCAGACATGAGGCTTGAAGATGGTAGTTATGCAGATTCTGACCTGGATAAAGCTGAGGCATTGAACAGCTTCTTTTCATCGGTGTTCACAAGAGAGGACAGACGGTTCGACACAGCATTGACCCACATTGTGTTCACAGAAGAAGGTATTAGAAATAAACTGTCAAAGCTAAAGGTCCACAAGAGTCCCGGCCCTGACATGGTGCAACCCAAAGTGCTAAATGCGTTGTGCAACGAGCTTGCCGAGCCCCTGAAGATTCCGTTTTGTAAATGCCTGGATGAACAATAGGTCCCCATTGATTGGAAAATGACTTATGTGAGTCCTACCTTCAAGAAGGACGATTGTCACTTCACGAACTACTATAGACCGGTGAGCCTGACCAACATAATATTTAAGTTACAGTACTTGAGAGTATTATCAGAGATGCCGCAATGGAACATCTAATACGAAACAACCTTGTAAAGGATTGCCAACACGGTTTTATGCCAGGGTGCTCCTGATTAACACAACTGCTCAAGGTATTGGATATTTGGACCCATATTCTGGAACGGGGTGGTAATATCGACAATATTTACTTAGATTTTTCAAAGGCTTTTGACAGTGTACCCCATGAAAGGCTGAAAATCAAACTGGAAGGGTACGGAATTTGGGGAAATGTCGTAGCGTGGATAGAAGACTTTCTACATGACCGCAAGCAGTGTGTGGTGATTAATGACACAAAATCATGTTTTGGGCCTGTCACAAGCGTGGTACCACAGGGCAGCGTATTGGGCCCGCTGTTGTTTTTGTTTCATAAATGACATGCCTGACGTTGTACACTCCTCCATACAAATGTTTGCCGATGACGCCAAGTTATTCAGGGAAATCAAGAACCATGCGGACTGTGAAGAGCTGCAGAAGGATCTCTGTGGGCTCCAAGAATGGTCGAAGAAATGGCTGCTGAGATTCAATGTCACGAAATGTAAGAGGATGCACCTGGGGCGTGCCAACGGTAAGGAGGCGTATCATGTGTCCCAACGGGATGAAGAAACTGCACTAGTTGAGACTGAATGTGAGAAGGACCTAGGTGTGTATGTTGACAATGAGCTGAAGTTCTCAGGCCATTGCGAGAAGAAGGTAAATGAGGCAAATAAATTATTGGGTCTTAGAAGAAGGTCGTTTAGATATCTAGACGGTCCGTTCATCGTAACGATCTTCAAGAGTGAAGTGCTTTCCCATCTGGTGTACTGTCACCCCGTCTGGTCCCTGAGATATGCTAGGGACTGTCAGTTGGTTGAAAATGTTCAAAGGAGGGCCACCAGACTGGTGCCTGCACTTTGGCACCTAAGCTACCCTGAGAGTTTGGTGCGCCTTAACTTGCCTAGCTTATACTACAGACGGGCAAGGGGTGACCTAATTGAGGTGTATAAGCATCTCAAGGGGCACTACTCAGTCGAGTGTCCTTACTTGGAGCTGGCGGACGCTCGCCCCACAAGGGGTCACAGCTCAAGATTGAAGAAGCCGCAAGTCCAGAAAACCGTGAGGGCAAACTTTTTCGGAGTGAGAGTTGTGAACTCTTGGAACAAACTGCCCAAAAGTGTTTTGATGGCACCGAGTGTGAGCTCTTTCAAGACAAGACTTGTCCAACACTGGAGCAGGTTCAGGTACATTCAGGAGCCGGTGCATGCCCAGTACTTGTCAACAGTGCGTAACGGAGACGTGACCGATTGCCCAAGCGGCTAATGAGCAGATCAGTGGTGAAAAGGATAAAAGAAAAAGAAGTGTTAAAGGAATCTTGTGGGAGAGAGGGGGTGGAAGCCCCCCTCCTGTCCCCTCTTGTCAGCTGCACTCAGATACATTATATTGTACTCTAACATTTATTTGTTCTAATTTTTTCTTTATAGTACTGTGCTGTACAGTATACAGTTTTCTCTTTATTCATAAGACATATTCTGTTGTTACTTACATATAACACTTTAGAGTTAATAACAATCATCTTGGTGACAACAGTTGTTGACAACGAGACTTATATGTCTGATTTTCCAGCCAGAGAGTTCTGTTTCATATTTTTTTTATTG